TGTAGGCGTGCGTGCTCAAGACGAAGGTGTTGGGTGTCATGGCGCGACTTATGGGTGTGAAGCATGTGTCGATTTTGGGGCCACAATTACCATCTCTACCTCCATTGACATCGATGCTTGATGATTTGGAAAGCTTGTAACCTACCGCTACATGGGAGGAAACCACCAGACTTAAAGGAGATGAGAGCATTGGGTTTAGATATCTTAAGGTCTTCAATCAAGTGTCGTTTACAAGGCAGGCATAACGCCTACTTCAATTTCCAAACGGTTTGTGTGCTAGAATTATGAAGGCTAAATATTTCCCTTGTGGGTGTGTGCTAGACACAACCTTCCATCAAAATATGTTGCCAACTTGGCAAGGCATTCTGCATGGCTTGTACCTGTTGAAGGATGGTATCATTTGGAGGGGAAAATTCATGTGAGATGGTTCATATTTTCATAGATAAGTTGGACCCCCATGTGTCCTCTTTATTTTAGGTAAAAGGAAGAAAACTATATTGATGTGGGTATCTGAATTGTTATTGTGTCATCCCATGTGATGGAATGAAAACTTTATTGGACACACCTTCTACCCTCATGATGTGGAGGCACACCTAAATATTCATTTGTCATCCACTGGAGGGGGTCACTGTGTCTTGGAATGAGTTTTTCACTGTAAGAAGCGTGTACGAAATGGCAATGCAACACAGTAATGGCATGCAATAGAGGTCAATCTAGATAGTATGGCGCCACAAGGAGATAGAAATATCTGGAAGTTAATTTGGCAATCTCACACGCTTCAGAAACTGGAAGCTTTTTCTTGGAGAGGGATGAAGAATGGTCTTGAGGTGTATACTGATAGAGTTCGTCGTCATTTGGTGTTATTCTTAGATGTGGCATATGTGGTTGTGAAGATAAGGATGCTTTCCACACGTCTGTCAATGCCCCAAGGTACACGCCCTTAGGTCTGATCTTCGAGAAGTTTGGCTTCTTCCTAGTGAGGATTTGTTTGCTAATACTAGACCAGAGTGGTTGCTCCTTTTGCTAGACATTCTGAATATTGATCATAGAGCTAAGGTTTTGTTCATGCTCCAAAGACTGTGGCCTCTAAGAAACAACCTAATATTCGGTGAAGGTAAGGCACCTGTCGTAGATTTTGTCACCTTTCTCCAAAATTATGTGGCTGGTTTCTTGGATGTGGTAATGGCAAAGGTAAAGAATCTATGGGAAAAAAATAGTTTTCATACGTAAGCATGAACAACTATAGTTTGGAAAAGCCATCAAGCTGGATGTAGTATGATTAATGTTGACATTGGCTTTGATCCTTGCTCAGCTTCAGGAACTATTTGCTAGGTGGTGACAGAGATATATCGCGTCTTGAAATCAACATGGATATTGTCCCAAGTTGTTCCACCATGGAAGAGGCGGAGCTTCAGGCGTGCATCATGGGGATCCATATGGGTATTGATTCCTATGTACCCTACATTTTCAAAGCTCACTGCCTTTACATATATTAAGAATTGCCTTAACTCCTCACATATGGGAAAATCGTCTTACATGAATTTTGAACATGATGATGTTGGATCCGTTGAAGAAGTCACTGAATTTCAAGACTATTCATATTTAACAGAGATGCTAATGTTATGGCTCATGGTTTAGCTCAGTTTAGCAAGAGTGGTTCTTGTATGGGTGTGTGTGTTGGCACGGTTCCTTCTTGCATGTTGGAATTGGCCAAGAACGATTGTAAAACCTTATCCAAAAAGATGCATTGAATGTCATGATGGTTGACATGACAACCTTCATCATTGCATATCGGCTTTCAACCATGAAGGAGCCGGTAATGATTATAATTTTGAAAGATGACGCAATTGTGGGGAAAGGAACACATGAGAACCTTATGGGCATCACCCTTAGAGTGTAAGCTTCTATTGTAGAACATAACTTCACCCATTGCAAGTTTTTACTAGAAAAGACCATATGTCTGACTTCAGTAAATTTAAGCCCTTAGAGGTTTACAGCATAGGTTCATGATGGCGAGATCTCCATGTGGTAGGCCAACACAAGGATTCGGCCCAGCAGACCTGAATGGACCGAGTCCATGCCAGGAGATCACTCGGCTAGGCCGGTATCATGAAGCCCATCCGGCTGATTTGCACCATAGTGTCCATCCGACTGTATAGGTAGTGGGCAATCAAAGCAGGTATCTCTTACGATGCACTCAAGGCATCTTCATTACTATGTAGTAATTCATGTAGTGATCATCATCATGGCATCAATACTACAACGTGGCTACAACCACTATACTCTTCATCCTCATCAGTTCCATATAAGGCGAAGACAAAATAAGATTTAAACAAGTTTTGTTGGGTAGATTGACAAGTCCAGATGGACACATAAGCACACCGGTGCTATAAATCATTGTAACCATTGTTCATACGGTATCAAAGCATAACCTGGGTAAAACCTCTCTCGAGTGAAATATCATAACTAGATCATCCACGTGCACCTTGCCTTACCAAAATTCCCCAAATCATGTGTATTGCAATGAAATCCCCACAACAGTTCAAATGCAAAAAACACAAATCCGGCTCAAAGGCCACGAAAGAACACATACCTCGATACAAACTCTGAGCAGGGTCCTCGGCTCGATAGCTGTAGTACACACACCCCAACACCAAATGAGCCTTGACTGCGACGCGCTTCGGTCTCCAGACCGCTCCTCGCCGAGCGCCACAGCATGGAGCCTAAGTCACCGAGAAAGAGCCTCAAGGGTCAATGAGTCTTGGGGCTTGCTCGGCGGCCTCCAAAGCTGTAGAAAAAATAGCCTTTTGTATAGGCAGTCATTGAAGTGTATTCTAATCCCCTAGGTGAATTTTGGTAATTTGTGCCAACATATCTTAAGGTGCTAATGATTCATCAAGTATCTTTCATATTAGCTCCCAAATGATGCATCAAAATAAGATGATTGGTGCCCACTCAAAATCCTGTTAAGACAAGTGTTAGCCAAACTAAGGACTTAAATTTTTATTTTAGTGATCCAAGATCATATTGAGTCCATAGATACGACAATGCTATCAAAAAGGATAGAAATTGTTAAGCTGAGTTTCTTTCTCTATGTGTTGAAAGATCGAACTCAAAAGCCCTAAAAATAGCCTTTGGTTTCTCCACTGTATATCTACCACTTTTTGTAGTTTTTAGATATAGTCATTGCAAACGATAGATGAGCTCCCGAACACCTCCATCCGGAACCTCTGGAGCGCTTGTGCACTCCTTTGCACACAGTTCGGATTTCGAGCGGACTTGCTTGAAATTGCCGAACGACATCCAACAGTGTGTGCTAAGTGAGTCATTGGTCAGTCAAAGCCTCTAAACGACTTTAAGTTGGACCTTTCGAGCTTTTGAAAGTTTCTGCCTTTAGCGTTATTTGGAGATTACGAACTAAACCTCCGGAGCTTTCTAACTATGTTAAAAAGGTGTGTAAGGGTCATATTTCCGTTTCCGCCAATTTATACTTTCACCTGTCCCATGAATTGATGCTGAGGCCGGGGTCTTCCCCTTTCTCGAAAGAAAAAGAAAACTATCCTACCAGTTCACTGGAAGCAACACTCTTTCAAATCATATTTTCTAATATACTCCCTCCGTCCCGAAATACTTTTGGTCTATGAGTGTACTCCCTCCGTCCCGAAATACTTGTCACCAAAATGAATAAAAGGAGATGTATCTAGATGTATATTAGTTCTAGATACATTAATTTTTATCCATTTTGATGACAAGTATTTTCGGATGGAGGGAGTATATACTTATGTGGGAAAATTAGTAATTAAAAAAAGTCAAATTCTGAACATACTTTTGAAATAAAGTTGACCTTCCATTGTACTTGTAAGAAAAATTCCATACAAAAAAACTTGTTGACTTCTTCTTGAAAAAACAAAAATTCTGGCTAAAATAGTGTGAATAGCGACCTATAAATAATAGCAAATAAATTTTATTTTTTGCCCAAGTCAACACTGGATTTTTGTTCAAGAAAATTTATATACTAGTGCAAAAGAAAGTCAGGTTTATTTCAGAAAAACTTATAAACTTTTTTCACTTTTTTGTAATTATTATTTTTTCTCATATAGGGTGTATATGCACTAGGAACCAAAGGTATTTCCCAGATCATTCACCGCTATTGTTGGTCCATTCTGCAGCAGCAGTGTAACGTTCATGAAAGGATCCAAAGCACCCTGCAAAAACAAATGATTGGATGTAAAAATAAAAACCAGGATTAGAAAAGTCGCAACCTGCTCTCCAATCTCCATGACAGCTCCTTCGGCAGATGGGAGAAAGAATATCACCAGATACTCACTCCTCACCGCAATCCACACCTAATTTTTTTTTTTTAAAAAAAACATCTGCCCCCCTTCTCCTTCTTCCACACTTTGAATCCGCGCTGCGCCTCGCTTCCTCACCCCCACCTTCGCCCATGCATGCGAAGCAGCAGTGCTCCATTACTTCCCAATTACTCCTCTCGCTCCCACCCTCTTCCACCTTCTTCCCTTCAATTGTCATTCTCAGTCCATCACTCGAGCCTAGCACTAGCACTAGCATCATTTTCACCAACCTTCTACCCGTGCTCGGTAATCTTCTCCCCGCGTTTTTTGGCTCGCCGCGGAATTTTCATCGCGCCAACCACCGGCGGCACCATACCTTTCTTTTTCTCTCGTCTCACCGTAATCCTGAATTTTCATCACGCCGACACCGACACCGAGCGAGCCATCCACCGTGACCGCCCTCCACTTTCCCAGCGAGCAAATCCAATCTTTGCAACCACATTGTTGCACCCGATCACCCACCCGGATCAACTTCCTCCCCCCTCTCATCTCTTTCCAGCGCTGCCGTGTCCAGCATCTGGCTGTTTGCGCGGGAGAGTCCGATGATCTTTGCGGCCTGATTGCTCCGGGCCCGGCCAGAGATCCACCGGTTCGAGAGGAGCAAGAAGCTGCAGAGTGGTGGTGCCTTTGCTCGGGCAGCTCCAGTAAATGTCGGACTCGGAGCTGTCCCGGAGCACGGTGGTGTTCGGGCTCCGCTTGTGGGTGCTCCTCGCCATCGCCGTCGGCGCCGCCTCCGTGCTGCTCCTTGTCCTCCTCTCCGTCCTCTGCTTCCTCGGTTCACGGCGGCGCCGGCCAACCACCCCCGCCCACCACCTCCCCACGTCCGCGCCTCCGAGCAAGGATGCCAGGAAGGTCAACGCGCCCGAGGGCATCCAAGAAGCCCCCTCCCACGCCGCCGCCGCCGCCGCGAAGATGCCGCTGGCGCGGGTGCTCCAGTCCCCCATAACGCCGCCGCCGTCGGTCAAGGAGCAGCGCATGACGTACCCGGAGCAGCCCCCGCAGCACAGCCACCGGAGCAGCGGGATGCCGTCGTCGCAGGGCAGCACCTGCGAGAGCGGGGAAGGCGCGGCCCCGGCGCACCACGCGCCCAAGGCGGCGCCGGAGGTGTCCCGCCTCGGGTGGGGCCACTGGTACACGCTCGAGGAGCTGGAGGCGGCGACGGAGATGTTCGCCGACGAGAACGTGATCGGCGAGGGCGGGTACGGGATCGTGTACCACGGCGTGCTCGAGGACGGCACGCAGGTCGGCGTCAAGAACTTGCTTAACAACAGGTACTTCTAATTACGTTTACTATTCATGGAACTCGCTCTGAAAAATTTACGGTAACTTGACATTGTCATCTCGGATGAAAGCGTTGTCAACGTGGAAAATATCATATTCTGTCACTGTTTGTGAATTGCATTGGCTATGGATCACCCCGAGAACACCCTCACCGATTTGAATTTGAATTTGAATTTGTGGGTGCTCCAAAATGAATAGCCTCTATATGTGCCGGATGCTGCATGAGCTGCAGGTTGGGTTCAGTAATTAGTGTACTGGTTTCCCCTTATATTTCAGGTATGTTCGTAGCCAGTAGCTTCCGTGAGTTTTAATTGAGGTACACTTCATCAATCGCCTGGCTCAGGGTGCTCTACGCCGCAGCTGCCCTCGCCGCTCCGTGCCACCGGCCGGATCGTGCTCTTTAGCTCGCCGGTGAGACACCGAGCAACTTCCGAAGCTCGCCGGCCCTGGAGGCCACACGGCTGGTGGCGCTGCGCGCGGCCGTTGCCCACGTGATCAGTGTCGTCTGCTGGATTGCGTTCATCTTCTGGTCGGCTCTGGTGCCGGTGGCACCACCACGGCTTGTGGACAGGGTACACGTCAGGGAAATCGGCTGGGAGGAGTAAGTGCAGATGACGAGGTGGTGGAAGTGAGAGACGCACCGCAACTGCTCGATGAAATGCCCATGAGAGAGATATGATGACAAGGGCAGGAGAGAGAGAGAGAGAGAGAGATTGCCAGGTGTGCGATGACCTGTCGAACCCAGTCAGCACAGATACCGCTTTGGCCAGGTCGAGGGACAAAAAATGTCTGGTTTGATAAGTTGAAGTGCAAGTTTCCCGGATTGGGGGTAAAGGGACAAAACATTAACTTGTCGATCAGTTGACGACTAAAAATAGGTTTCTCTTCAATATATATGTTCGAATTTTTAGGACCGGCTTGGATTGGTCAATGTGTGGATTTTTGTTTTCATGACTTGTTAGGGGGCAGGCGGAGAAAGAATTCAAGGTTGAGGTCGAAGCAATTGGCCGTGTTCGGCACAAAAACCTTGTGCGCCTTCTAGGATATTGTGCCAAGGGGAATCAGAGGTATTGTCTCGTATGTGTGTGCGCATTATTCGATTACCTTGCTGAGTTATAGAATCAACAATTGTTGTGGTGATGTAAATGTTGCTCATATGGTTGGTATTCTTAGGATGCTTGTGTACGAGTATGTTGATAACGGCAACTTGGAACAATGGCTCCATGGGGATGTTGGACCTGTAAGCCCCCTTACATGGGAAGATAGGATGAAGATCATACTAGGGACAGCAAAAGGGTGGGTGTTGCTCAGCTTGGATAACTCTTATTATTACTGACGTTTTGCCTAGTCATGTAAACATCTCACACTTTGTAGTGTAGGTTAATGTATTTGCATGAGGGGCTTGAGCCGAAGGTGGTTCACCGGGACGTCAAGGCAAGCAACATCCTTCTTGATAAGCACTGGAATGCTAAGCTCTCAGATTTCGGACTTGCGAAACTCTTAGGCCCAGAGCGAAGTTACGTAACTACACGAGTTATGGGAACTTTCGGGTTAGTTTCTCTGCATTGCCTGCACCTATGGTGATATTGTAATGTGGGATGAATTAGTGGTTACTAATTTGTTGTTGATCATTGCAGGTACGTTGCTCCAGAGTATGCGGGGACTGGGATGTTAAATGAAACAAGCGATGTATATAGTTTTGGGATCCTTGTCATGGAAATAATATCTGGTAGAGTACCAGTGGATTATAACAGGCCACCTGGAGAGGTTAGCTATTGATGTGTCTTTGTATAGCCTTATGAGCTTGTTAATGCACTTTTTACTGGAACTTGTTAGCTGCATTTATTTCTATAATTAAACATTTTCAGGCAAATTTAGTTGATTGGCTAAAGACAATGGTGAGCACCCGAAACTCTGAGGGGGTTGTGGATCCAAAGATGCCCCAGAAGCCTGCCTCTAGAGCAGTGAAGAAAGCTTTGCTCGTGGCGTTGCGATGTGTGGACCCTGATGCTTCCAAGAGGCCAAAGATTGGGCAGATCATTCACATGCTTGAAGTTGAGGATTTCCCCTACAACAGAGATGTAGGTCAATAAAGGCATACATTCCTAATCTGGATTTTCATTTTATCTGGACATTCACGATCGTAAAGACACTGAAACATATGAATAAGAAGACATCATCTTATTGCTAATTTCAGGAACGTCGAGGCGGTAGAGCTCCAACGAAGGCAAGGTTGCCCGGGAAACCGACTAACGGAATAGATGATGGCGAAATTGATAACATTGGGGACCATGACCAACCTTTCAGATGGAAAAATACAATGGCCTAGCCATTTGTTCAGTTACCAAATCATGTGGAACCCCATGTTGTAAATAGGGGCAATACCTGGTGAAGCCGCAAACTGTCATTATTTTAGTGTCAGCCATGGGAGAACATCACATCATATGTATATGTCATCAAAGGAACGCGGCAGCGGTAGTAGTAATCCTTGATTATTTATCCAATTGGAGATGTTTTTACATGATAATGTCGTGATCCTTTTAAGTTAACAACAGAATGATAAAGCCCTCAGACGGCCTTTGGTTAAAAACTGGCCAGCGTTTGTGACTTGCACTGACGCCGAACCATTTAAAGAAGCTTCACATTCGAAGAAGTTTGACTTAAGACAATACCAAACCTTCACTTAATTTGGAACTGTGGGGGTACTTAGTACTGGAGATCAAAGAAGAACGACCAAAATGTGAAGCTGGTTGTTCAGTGATGGCGTCTACATCTAATCCGGGTTTCTTTTTCCTTTTGTTGCCTTCTTGTTCGAACATGTGAGGAACTTTGGCCAATGTGGTTAAAAAATGTGATTATTCATGTGCCCGTGTACAAATAACCTTAAGATATTTCTCGTTTGAAGGGCATGATCATTTCTAGAGTTACTTCTAAATTAGTTCATTTCTAAAATTTCATATTTTTGGAGTTTATAAAGTCAGTACACCCACTGTTCTAAATTGATTGGAGTTGTAGATATGTCAGAAGTCAAACTTGTTTAACTTTGACCAACGGTACATGAAAATATCCTGAAATCTACAAATCTAATATAAAAAATACGAGAATATATTTTATAAAGAACCTAATGAAACAAATCTGATTTTGTAGATGTTAATTTTTCTGTAAACTTGATCACATTTAAAGAAGTTTGAATTAAGACAAAACCAAACCTTCAATTAATGTGGAAATGGGGGAGTACTTGGTACTGGAGATAAAAAACGAAGACCGAAATGTGAAGCTAGTTGTTCAGGGATGACATCTACATCTAATCCGGTATTTTCCTTTTGTTGCCTTCTTGTTGGCACATGTGAGGAACTTTGACCAATATGGTTAAGACGTCGATGTACAAAATTAAAAGAAATAGATGGTGCCTGCCTGGCATCCATGTCAGGGCTATAATTCCCAGAACACAAAAGCTCTTTCCAGCTGAAACAAAATGTCAGCTGATATGTCGTGACCGAGACTGGAGCTTTTCTTAATGCAGCACGCATGAAGCATTGCACATGCAGTCTAGAATCATCGTTTGACAAACCTGCAAACTGCCAACAGCAACATGTTCAGATGTTGAAGCTTAAGAAAGAATATCAAACCAATGATGCAGAGAGCCTAGCCAGCACGATGAGTACAGCTTGGCCAAGATGCAAACGAGAGAGGGAGAGAGAGATGCAATGCTACAGTGAATACAACAATAAGAATGAAAAAAATCTTCTTCCACTATGTTGCACAAGCTGTACATCTGTACCGACTTTTTGTTACAAGTTTTCTTTTGCAGAAAGGATCAAATCTATTGTAAAAGTTCATCGGAAGTACAACTCAAACATAATAAAAATTACATCGAGATTCTGAGACCACCGAACGATCACTACTGCCGTCAGAACGAGCCGCCGATGAGCCGCTATCCTACCTGAGCCGACTTGACCTTCTCGATGACAACCGGAAAGTCTTCGTGCACGTGCCCCTAAGGTCCAGCACCCTGGAGCCGTAGTCGTCGTCGATGAAACCTTGCATAGATCTAAATCACCTAACATCAAATCTCGCCACATGATGAGAAACCCTAACCTCGCCGTCCTAAGGACTCGGCGGGAATCTATGCTGAAGCTTCGTTGACTACGTCCAAACGGATGAACTCGAGGAGGATCGAAACCCGAAAGACAAACTCAAAGAAGAAGCGCGCCGAGGGCCGCACCTGCGAGGACTAAAAAAACTAACCTAAACTACTAACTGGAACTAAGGCAGCGAGATTGCCCTACCGGCCACCGACGTGGCAAGTAGAGGGGAGGCAAATCCACGGGCTCGCCGGTGAAGTTTGGAGGGGAAGTTTGCCCTAGCCACCTACGGTAGGGGAGGAAATAAGAGGAAGTCACGTTTATGCGCAAAGAAATACTTTTCTGTTACAAGATTATGTCGAGAGTGCAAGAAACTTTAAGATTGTATTTAATCTGTTTGAGAGACTCTCTTGACTAGATTTTTGTTTAAAAAATGTTTTCGTTCCACTTTATAGATAAAGCACCAACCATGTTCGTACACCTTTTTTTAATACTTTTTTCGATCCTCTTTATAGATAAAGCACCCACCACTAGGAAATACCTTATAATAGATGCTTAGCAGTAGTGAGGGGAGGGGTATAAAACCCTCACTACTACTAAGTTAATAGTAGTAGCGCGGGCTACAAACTCGCGCTGCTACTAAGTGGTCTCCTCGGGACATGCCATAGTAGTAGCAAGTGGTATAAGACCCTCGCTACTACTAAGTTAGTAGTAGTAACACAGGCTATAAACCCACGCTGCTATTAAGT